TAAGAACAGATGACATGGACTGAAAAGAGCAAGTCAACCAATCTTATTTCTATGTCAAAACAATGGGTTTTGGGGACTTGTGGGAGGGTAGTGGGAAAGAGGAAGAGGAGAGAAGGGCATTAGATTTGGTATTACCTTGACTACAGCAAAGTTTTTTGACAATGTATCCCATGATCTTCTCATAAATAAGCTACACATAGAGTGTAGATAAAACTACAGGGTTTATATTTGAGTACGATGCATATTAATAAGTTATCAATGGCTCTGTCTAACTAGGAGGAGGTAACCAGATAGGGCTTCCTAGAGGTATGTCCTGGATTCTATGCAGTTCAATATTTTTATTGATGGCTTGTAGGCTGGAACTGAGTGTACACATATACAGATAGCCCTAAACTGTATTGGTAGCTGGCACTTTGAAGGATTGGATTAGGATTCAAAATGACCTTGATAAAAATGGAGAAATGGTATGACATAAATAATATAAAATTTAGAAAGGAAAAGTACAAAATCCTACACTTGGGATTGAACACTAAAATAGACAAATGCAAATTGAGGAACAACAGACCAGGCTGTAGTTCCTTGGAAGAGGACCTAAAGGTTACAGCACACCACAAGATTAAGGAGTTGTAACATTGTTGACAAAATGTATTGCGGGATATATTAACAGAAGTACTGAATGAAAATCACAGGAAAGGATTCTTCAACTCTCTTAAAGGACTAGCAAAGCCTCATTGGGACAGCCACCAGAGCCCAACCCAGGGGCAGGGAACAATCTCCTGGCTCCATGCTTCCTGTCAGCCCCTGGGCTAGCACCCAGGAGGAGCCTGGAGCTCCCCCTGGCTGCTGCTGCAGGGGGGCAGAGCACAGTGGGAACAGCCCTCTGGGCTACTCCCATTGGGAATAAATCTGCTCCCAAATGCTTACACGTATAGATGTGTGCCCAGGGTGGGTTTACTCTGCAGCAAATTACTGCAGAATAAATGTATCCCGCAGCATTTGCACCTGTAAACATGCCCACAGGAGATTAGGAAGGACTTCCTAAGTTTTTAAACAAATCACTTATAGACACTGGAGTATCTATCCTTGGACATTTTGAAATGGTGTGAGAGGCAGACAATTTTTATTCTGTGAATAAGTCTGATTATATGAAGTAACATAGGGTAACTCAATTCATTCCTGTCACCTTGGAACCAGGCTAAAATCTGACACAGGTAAAGCTGAACCCCAATCTCAGGAAGGGTCTGTTTACCTCGTGCTAGCATACAAAGGTAACTTTAGCAACCGCCACTATACAGTTTGTGAACAAACATTGATAACTATTTCCTGCCATTGAACACAAAATCATACTATAGAAGTGACATTAAAGGAGCTGTTGTCTTCTATAATATTGTCTTCTAGTCAAAGCTAGAGGTAGAATACCAGATTAAGAGAGAAATGATCTGATCTGGTAACATAATTCCTGTTTAGCTTGCACATGTAAACAGGAATCAAACAATTTGCATAGCATATACTTGATATGAAGTATAAAGAACCGGCATCCAATCACAGGGTATTTTCTACTAAACCATGCAGACAAACCCAAGAGAAATTTCTCTGTAAGTACAGCAGTGTTGAAGTGATGTGTTGCTGTGATGGTCAAGGAGATATAAAGGAGGCAAGCCTTCTTGTGAGTGATATCTTTTATTGGACCAACAGTATAGTTGGTATACAAATATGCAAGCTTTTGAATTTCACAGTACTCTCCTTCAAGCCTCAGGAAGGAAGGCCTCAGGTCATATAGCTGGTCCTACAAAAGCTATCACCCTCAAGAATTCTTGCCTCTCCATAAGTATAGTGTCACTGCATACTACAGACAAGTCACAGGAAGAGCAATGGGATTAGCTTTCCCTCTAGAGTTCATTAGTTTAACCATAGATCAAGTCCCTTATGGATGTGAGATAAGTATTCATGCACTACCCTTACTGCCCCTCAGCAAATTTACACTATAATGTGAGCATTTTTGTGTAGTTACTAATCCATTTGGGATTGCCTCTCTGTTGTTTTAGTTTGCCTGAATACTGTGTTCCCACGGTAAACTGGATTAGTAGAAAAATCCTTTTTTGCAAAGAATTAAATGATTCAATTCTTTATCCCTCAAGAACAGAAAAAGAGACACAGACAAAACTGGATTATGTTCTAATGGGGATTTTAAACATTCAGTACAAGAGTATGCATTAATTTTGTATTCAATATTACACCACTGCTTTTCCAGGAAAAAATCATGGGTGTGTTACAATAGCGAGGCACTTTAATCTCAGAAGAACAACCAACAGGGACTTGATCCAATATCCAGTAAGTCAATGGAAAGATTCCCACTGACTTCAGTAGGCCTTGAGTTAGGCTCCAACCATGCTTTAATTTTTGGTAGCTATTCCAGGTTCAAAATAGCTAGCAGTTGCTAAACTGCATCCCCAATCTGCATGAAGCTGGTTCCCACATCCCCACTCCCTTTTTTACTAAAATAAAAAAACAGTATCTGTTCTTAACACACAGTTCCTCATGTCAACTTTTATAGAATTCTAGCTCCTCTTTGAAGTTATGTTTTCATGCAATGTGTTTGGATAGTTCAGTGGGGACTAATAAGTCTTATAAAGGAGAGTGATTTATTTATTTCCAAAATGGCATTTCTTGAAAATAGCAGAAGCATTCCACAGAGAACAGGAGCACTGGGTAGGCACACAGCAAGTATGTGCAACTGTTTCTGTCTCCTACTAGCACGATCTGCTAGCCAAAGGAAGTAGTGCACTTCTGATATAGTCCATATAAACCATAACTTCGTGATCTTACACTCTGACTTGCTCATTTCTATGTTGATTGCATGTCTGTTCCTTGATTTATTTCCCTTTTACCACTCTCCTAGTTTGTGGCTCACCACTGGTTGATCAATACAACTCTCTACTAACAAGACAACCACAGCTACCATCACATGATGTCCTAGAAGCAAGGTTAGAAACAGGTTTCATAAAAGTCATTCTTAATCTAATACTCCTCACTCCCTCCCATTCTTTCTCTTTTCTTGTAAGATCCAAGTCTACCAGCTGGCAAGGGTGGTTTGCTATATATCTAATATACACAGAGGGTATGTCTACATGTTCATTAATGAACATTTAATTTAGTACTTGTATAATCAAGTACTAATTAAATGCACCGTAACTAGAGTTACTGTGTAGTAGCACCAGCAAACAACTTTTAAGTGACACTACTGCACAGTAACCTAATAATACTACGCACTAGTGTATTTGCACTGTCTGTGCTGTGATGCACTACTCAGCAATATTATTAGGCTATTGCACAGTTAGTGTCTTGTGTAGATGCACCCAGAATGTATGTAATAAGCTGCACACAATAAAAAAATCATACTTTTTCAGTGCCTGGAACATTATCAGTAGCAAGACATTGATATAAAGGAAGAAGATATCTTTTAAACTAAAAGGAAAAGCCAAATTAAAAAAACAGGGGAAAGTACTGACTGAGTCCATTAAGGGGCTTCAGCACTGTCATTACGCATTTCATATAGTTTTAGGACCCAGGAGCCATGACAGGAATCCATATCCATAAGTTAGGTTCCTAAGTCCCCTCTATGTGGAGAGAACTGTGTACGTAGGAATGGGATTCATGCTCAGTATTTTGTGCAAAGATACACATCAGCTAGCCAACAGGAAATGTTGAAGAGAGAGCTGTGGCTGAACTGCTACCTCTCTTTAGAGTTTAGAAGCCTCTCTCAGACTGCAATTCTTACCCCCAGACACCATTCTGAACTCACGCATTTAAGTCATCCTCTTTGGAAATGGTCACTTCTTTCACTTTTCAAGATACAGTTTGTAATACCTATTCTTATACAATTAGCTTTGCCAGTTGATCATTCACCCCAGAAGTGAGAAGCCCAAGTTCAATGCAGCTTTCTACCTGAGGGCATTCAAAGTTCCACCTCCCAGGAGTGTGTCTTAACCACTAAGTTGTAGGGTTGGTAGAAGGGAAGAAGTATCCTCCAGCTTTCCTGCTGAAGCTGTACTTCCAGGCAGCAAAGAATCCAAGACTCTGTGGGGAAAAAGGGAGAGAACAGACAATATACATACAAGTGAGCTATCTAGTCCAGTAATTGGGGCATTCATCTTAAAGTTGAGGATGGAATCTGGGTTCTGAACCCCCAGTATAGGGGTTCCTCATACTGTTTTTATATTGTATCCAATGGGTGTATCTACATGTGTATTTGACCCAGGAGCAGTTTACTTGTGAGTAAACTACTCACGAGTAAACATTCTCAGGCAGATGCCTACACATTCAGGGACTCAGAAGCAGATTTGGTGCTCATAGCAGTCATCTGCTCCCACCCTTGCTGGCCCTGCACTGAGCCCCTGTAGCAGTCAGGGGGAGCTCTAGGCTCCTGCTGGGTGCTAGCCCAGGGACTGGCAGGGAGCACTGGGGCTAGAAGACAGTTGTCTACTAGCGAGGACATTGCTCCCTGCCCCCAGGAGCTGCCTGCTGCCAGGGTGGTCTCCACCACCAATATCGGGGGCTGGGAACTGCTCCCCGATTGCAATCTTGGAGCGGGGGGCTCGGAACTCCCTGCTGCTGGGGCAGGGGGACATAGTCCCCACCTGGGCTCCAGTAACAGAGCCCGCCCCAGCAGCAGGCAGCTCCTCAGGGCAGGAAGCAATCAGCCACCCCCTGCTGCTGCTTGACCAGGAGCACATTTGCTCCCAGTCAGGTGCCTACACAAGCACTACTGCACAGTAACTAATTGCAAGTAAATTTGCTACTTGCATTTGCAAGTAGCAAACCTACTTTTGATCAGAGCAGTTTACTGCACAGTAAGTATGTGCACATGTAGATGTGCATGCTTACTGTGCAGTAAACTGCTCTATTGCATGGTAAAGTTTCTTGTGTACATGCACCCAATGACCGTTGAAAACAGCATGCATATACATCAGTATCAAAACCTATGTAATCTCCCTCCCAGATAAGTGCCCTAATCACTAAGCTAGTCATGCTGACTTTTGCATTCTTGCTTTCTCTTTTTCTTCCCACCAAAAATGCTTGAAGACAAAAAATGATTTGAGTACAGGAAGGTGGTAGAACTTCTACAATTGGGAACAAGAATTCATAACAATTGCCTGTAGAACTTTGCATTGAGATCTACATTTAATAGCACTATAGTAGTCATTAATAGGATTTGGGATCCTAGATATGGTAGGCATACCTTAGGGCACATGTCAGAGAAGTCCTGCTTGGAAGAGCCCTGGACTGGATTGATATTCAGAGAGCAGTCTGAAAGAAGCTCTCTACCCAGTGCAGAGAGCAGCCTCAGTATGTCAAGCCATGGTGATATTATTTACCCAGTACAGTATGCTTGGATTAACTGAAAGAAAATGCTGAATTTGAGATGTCCCAAATCACTGGGAGTAAAATAAATGTAAATCCTTTTTTTTTTTTTTTTACAATTATGTTTGGCCAATGGGCTTTTAGAAAAGAAATGTTTAAATTATTCATGAATATGAAGCATATTGAAATCCTTAGTATTAATGGGCTATGTACATATGAAATGCTAAGTGATATCTATAAGTTACCATTTTAAATAATTTGTAGTTGCCCTGAAAGAATAAGTTTTGTAAACTGATGATTAGTAAAGTCATTTTCAAGCACCTACTAATTGTAGGTAACTAATTAATCACTTTGCTTCAGGTGTCAATTGCCTTTTTCTCATAAATGAGCACCTTCCTCTACTGTAGGGCTATTTGTGGTGCCAGGCACTCTTCATCAGTAAAACAGTCAGAATTTGCCCTTAAACTAAATAATTAGGGGAACATTTTTCAAAGGCAAAAATGCAAGTTAGGTACCTAACTGTCCCTTTTCCCTTTAAAAAGCTTCAACAAGAAAAGCATTTTTTTATGAAAGCCAAATAAAGGGCTTAAAGTAATTAGTTTCAGAGACGGGTTAGACATGTCACTGATGAACAATTAGATGTCCCCAGAAAGCAAGTTTTAAAAAGTAATTAGTTTTATTCAGGACAGCCAATCAAGTACATGGGAATGTGTCCTTATAACATAGAAGGTTAAAAAGAAATAAGAAATCTGGTTTATTAAATTTGAAATTTAAGGGGCTGTTCACAGAATTACTAGCTGTCTAAAAACCAATAACACGTGGCTTCTACATCGTGTGCATATGAACATGCACATCACAATACCAAAATCTTTGCTTTTATAGGTTTTTATAGAAATCAGAAGGGCCAGAAACTTTCATCAGAAGTTTCAGAAAGAAGGGTTGGAAAAAACAAAATTGTATGTAGTCAAACTGGTTCCCTTAACTGTCACTTATTCTCCTCAAATAGTCTCTATTGCCCTGCCTCCCCATCTTCTGTCTACTTGTTCTAATTGACTAGCCACCCTGGGGCTGAATTTTGTATTGCAGGTATGAAAGGGCCCTGAAAGGGTCTAACATCACAGTCCTTCTGTTGCCCACAGCCCTTTATCTGGTGAATTTAGCAGCTTACCTTCTTCAGCATAATAGGACGTTTAAACTCACACTCCAAACTCCAGGGCTAGGGACAGAAGTTACACAAGAACCGATGTAAGTGATCAGAAACTGGTTTAAACCTGTAACATAACAGAAGCTTAGTGCACATAAACCAGTTTTAAAATGGCTGAAACTGATTTAAGATAAACCTGGTTGAATATAGTATCAGACTTAATTTGGGTCAAACCAGTTTATGAAACTTCTGGCCCAGCCCCCTTCCTGATTCAAGTTAAATCACGGTCACCCAGCATGCTTTGCAGCTCTGGGCTCTGCTGTCTGCTCCAGCAGAACAGGGCTGGCTCTTCCCTGTTGCTCTCTAGCTGGGGCAGTGAGGGCTGGCTGACAAGGGGGTGGAGGGGCAAGCCTGGCTGGAGATGCAGTCCAGTCTGTGGGGGGGACTGGGGCAAAATCCTGCTGGAGTCTGAGGCCATCCCTTCCCCCACTCAAATGTACTGCTGGATGCAATTTTGGACTACAAAGCCCAGAAGCACCTGGAAGCAGGAAGAGGAAGTGATCAGCAACCCTTCAGAGTTCTGCTCCTGTAACTCTGGACTGCAAATCCCAGAGACCTTGAGGGCAGTAGGAAGAAGTGAACATACAGCCCATGCAGGCTACATGCTGAGAGCCTAGCAGCCCCCAGCTTCTGGCCTGAGCCACTGCTGGCATGTGCCTGTATTTCCTGTATCAAAGGTAAATGTCTGTCCAGTTATTTCTCTGTTCAATTTCTGCAGCTTAGACTAACCTGCAAAGACTGAATGGATTCAGCCTCAGGGTTTTTGATTGTCTGTACTTAGCCCAGAATTCCAGCCTTAAGCCTCTCAGTAGCCTGAGAAGAATTATCCCTTAACTATGCAGGCAGAACTATCCTTTAACTTTCAGGGCCATTACACACTATTCTGCAGAGAAGATGCAGGAATGCAGCCCAGAAGTAAAGAACCATTTTTTTTCCTTTCCTTCCCCGTCTTCCATGCCTGTGCCTCTACCTTCCGAGGTTGATCATCTTTTCTCTTCTTTATAATACTTTCAATCATTTTTCTTGAATGGACATTATCTCTGCCATCTTTCCAAGACAGCCCCTCCACCTGCCAGCCACATTTTGCTGGGCTGCAGTCTTTTATAGCAGCTGTTTCTAGATGGCTTGATTCTTTATAGCTATGGGAGAGAATGAGACCTTTTGTTAACTTCTTCTAGGTTCCTACTGGGTGGGATCTGAACATTCCATCAGAAAGAATTAAAAATTGCTCTGGTTTTTAATCCATGGCTTCCAACTACCATTTTACTTGGTTTAGCATAATATTCACTAGAACATACACAAAGCCCTGCAGAGGCCCTCAGAACACTACCCAATTTGAAAAATACAACCTTGAAAACTGTATTTCTTCCCCTTCCCTCCCCAGCATTGTCTCTCCCTCTCTGCCATAAAGCAAAACATGGGCCAGTGAATCTGGAATCATGACGTTGAAGGGATCCTATGGGGGACCTAGAAGAGGGCCAGCTGGTCCTTAAAGTGTTATCACGGGTGTGTGGGAATGGGGGAGGTACAAGGTTGTTTTTTTTTATGTCATTTTATTTAATTGTTCTTCTTTGGTTGTTTGCTTTCATGTCTAGCCTCGTGCAGTTTTGTGGTTTTAACTGGTTGCTTTAACTAGTTAGTTTTAAATATATATATTTTTTACTTTATTATAAAAAAGCTCAAAAAAGTAAGAAGCCCCTCCCCCACTTTTTCCTTCCTCCTCCACTTGTCCTGAATCATACTTCAGTACTGAATCATACTTCAGTACCTTCTCATTGGCGCATTATCCTCACTGGTTGCCCTTCTCTACATCACACATCTGGTTTTCAGCACTATAGCTTCCTGTGTTCCTAAACCAAATGCCTTCCATCCTGAACAGCATAAGATTGTCAATGGAAACAATTATAATATTCTTTTCAGTTTTATCATCTTCTTGATCTAATGGTAGATGGTGATAATCAGCTCTAAAGATGTTTGGGGGCCTGTTCTTGCAAAGTCTTACTTTTATGAAATCTTGATTTCAGTGACTGCTTAAGTGACTTATGGAAATTTGAGCAAATAAAGGAATTATAAGGTTAAGCCAACAGCGTGTTTTATAAAATCTATAAAATGTCTTTTTTTTTTATACACAGTTGATTCAGCTTTATATTATTTCTCCACATTGAAATAATGAGATACATAAGTTTGGGAAGACTAAAGTATCAGGGATTAATAAATAGATTTATCACATCTATAATACATACACAAGTTTTGGATGGTCTAAAAATTAAGCCTAAGACTCAAATGTTCACAATGAGAGACTTTCTCTTACTTTAAAAAGTCGTCTTAATTTTATAATGCTCCATTACATAATAAATAATGTAGCTGTCATACTAACAGTAAGAGATAAAAATGTTGGGCTTACTGTTCAAAACATTAGCTGTATCTTAACTCTTAGGAGCTAAATCAACATTAAATGTAAATATTTCTTGAATTGCTCACCCTTTGCATTCACCACTGCAGTATTTGTAGACTAAAAATAACGAATCCCTGTCAAACACAAGACCATATACAGTTACGCTGCCTTAATCTTACTGCCTTTGTTTAATATTTTGTGTAATATGTTATAGGTCAACTATGCTAATTATGAAGTGGAATCATCTCTTTATTTGGTAAATTCACTCCAGTCTTAGTAATTTTCCAAATATGTATGCATATGAGTAAAAGACATGTTGCCCCATGATTGGCTACTTTAGTCTCTTCCACCATTTTCAAAACAGGTGAAAGGCTGAGCTATTTTAGGTGGAACTGGTAGCACTATTTGCTATTAAGGTTGGCATTTCCCATTATATGACCTCATTTTAGTGGCTTATAAATTACCAAACTTTAAACTGGGATTGAACTGAAAT